AATTTGTTGCGCGCGCATTTAATTTGATTACATTTAATTACCTTTTTGGTTTACGAGCGACATTGATCGTGACCTCCTTGTTGGTGACAGTATCGGAGGAGATAACAATGCTGGAACCTGAAGTTCATACTCGTTCTACTTATCAGACTATTCGTTTTCGTTTTTAATTACAGTACAGTGATTTAAATCTTCATTCTGTCAATGGTGCCGCGAGATACATGTAATTATAGTAATAATCGTAAAGGTTTTTAGTACGAAGGCGGGTCTGACTCATGTTACAGTGGCCTAGCAATTTCAGTGTACAAGGCGTTACTTCGGTAATAACTCGTGAACATTTCATGTCATTCCATCATTGGTTAAGAAAAATATCGTCAGTCAGCTACTTACTGTCTTAAGGATCTTCGGCTGATGTATAGTGGGCCTATAAAAGTCAAATACTACAGTCTGCCACGAGATAATGTGAATGGGTATAATTGGTGTCTAAAAATAGAGCGGCGACTTTTTGATTGCTACAATTTGCGATACGTATGTATGTACGATACTTACAAAACCTTTATAGATAGGTATTATCAACAATATTCTGTAGATATTTTTTTAAAGTATACTAGTTATACTAAGTTTAGAGTAGACCGGAAAATATAAGGATAATAAAAGAATATGAAGAGTTGATAAAGGGAGGCACCAGTGAAGTTCGGTGTAATATTTCAACGTTACAACAAATGAACACTTTTAGTGAAATGACCTCACTTAAACGAACCTGTTAATAGCCCCAAACGCCGTGATGCCGTGGTTTTCCTCTAATGATAGTCCTTAAACAATGAATTATGTTAAAGGTTTTAATATTTCATTAAAATAATAATTAAGCTGTTCTAACTAGCTCTCCAAACTTGAGTGGGTAAGGTACAACTATATAACTATTTACGATTATAGTTTCTTAATTGAAATTAAATTTGCGCCTCACTGCGGGACGCGCCGCGGATCGTGGAGACCAGATAATGGTCCGTTTATAACATTTAATATCACATTAAAAACTTTCTAATTCAATTTTCGGAACACACAGCGAGAATTCCGAAAAAGGTTGGGGAAAAAAATATGCTGAAGGAGATTTAAGATTGTCCACGTGTGGGTTTACTGTAAACATGTGTACACAATGGTTGAAGAGGCCACTAAAAAGCTAATATGTCAATGGGGCACGCAGTGTTGCACAACAATGCGCTATTCTGTGTGCACTGTCATGCGTATAACTTTATTAAAGACGTCTCCCCCGTGGAGGATCGATAGGTATGTCACTATTGACGTCTTAATATGGGCTCAGATTTGCGGTTTTTGCCATAATGGAGGCTATTACGTACAAAAAGCTATTGCTTTAGTGGTTGATACTATACATGAGAAACTGATGCATAAACATTTTAGTACAAAATAATTTTATTTTATGAAGATAGATAAAATAAAAAATATGTTTGTCATCGTATTTGCAATACATGACCGACATAGAGAAGTGAATATCCGCTCGAGGGATCGATGGTCGATGCACATCCGGAAAGGTGCTATATCGAATAAAAGCCCAGACATAATTCGTCATATTATTCATATAAAAATCAGTGCAAGATCGGCAGATGCGAAAGGATTGCACACATGTTGGCAAGGTGCGCCTGCTTCTACTATATGGCTTGTGCCAAACACTTCTCTTGGCAAACAATCGTCTATAATATTGGCTTCGGTATCTGTTTAGTTAGGCATTACTGACTCTATTGAACGCTTTTCTTCTCAAGTGTTTTGAATGTCAGTTATAAAATTAATATCAACTTTTAAAGGCTTGTGTTATTTTTTCTATTATTATTATCATTAATGCACCACGTGTATGATTCTAATTAAGTCACTGACTAATGAATATCGCTAGAAGCATTCGATAAAACGTTGTCAATATCTTCTCTGACTATTTTTACTAAAGCAAATACACGAGACATCTAATGTCAGTAAAAAGACAAGCTGGACTAAGCCTCTGTATATAGCAATCGAGCATTATAGCATACAAGAGATTTAAATGAAAAAAAAATGCAAATGACTAGCTACAAAGCTGAAGAACTTATAGTTATTTTTGCCATCGTCTTAGTAAGAGGTCGGATTCTGTGGAGGTCCTCGACGCGTGGCGCGGTGCCTTTTAAAGCCAGGCTCGGTTCCAGTTTAGTAATTAAAGTTACAACTTTATCGATCAAAGACTTTCCAATACACGATGGACCACCGGGCCGCGTATCTGCATCGACCTGCCTCAACGGTATATAAATATTAGCTAGCTCTGCCACGTAATGGAACTGTCAACCGATCGCTCCTTGTCTACGAATAATCCTACGAATGAGTTTATTACCTGAGCACTGCCCATGTAGTCAGTGTTCATTTTCGTAGGCATATGACAGACCAATAAGAATAACTACCCATTAGCATATCATGTTCCATTTTACGCTGGCTTTATTTATGTTGACCAATAATAAAGACATTGCAGTTTTTGTGGGCTTTATTTTGTACGGCGGCAAACAAGTGTACGAGTATCGACTGGATTAGATACAATGTTCTCCGCTATTTAGGGACGCTCAATCAAAAAGTATTTCCATTGCAATTTCCACAATGGGCTCCCTTTAGTTCATTGTTATTTTCGTTTTAAAGTCTCAATGTATGAATGATACAAAGACTGTAATTATCGGTTATGGTTCCGTTTGCTCTTTCGTAGTTCTTTGTGAGCAGTAGATGTCTCTATTTTGCGATTTTCTAAGGTGTGGGCTGGCTAAATGTTATTTGACGATAGTATTGTGAGCACGCCCGCAGCGCCATTGTGCACGCACTTTGTGTCTCGATGTATCACTCCCACAATTTTATTATATTTTGCGAATTCACTTACAGGAAGGAGAATTTGAAGAAAGATGATGGATGGCCTTGATATTCGTTCGAGTATTCTATTGTTCATATGTGAGAAGTTATATGACTCTGGGGAAATAGTGAGTAAATGATACTCCATATTTTAGTACAGATGCGTAATGTAAAAAACTCATAATCTCTGCTTGGCGCTTATTAAAGGGGCGTAGACATGTTTTAATTTTATTTTAATAAAAAGTTTTATCATTGGATGTCGTTTACTGTATACAACTTGAAAATTGTTGGGATATAAACGGACACGAGTCTGGCGGTGTTTCTTTTCAGTGAGATAAGAAAAGCCGACTACATCTAGTTACAAATGACAGGTACAAAATTGTGTCATTTCAGTACGGAAATAAATATAAAATGTCATTTACTAAAGGCTACTTGCATTCGTATAATATGTAGTGCATACCTACACCATTACAATCCCTAAACATGCTTTTATAAATTTTACAAACTTGCAATTCATTTTCATACTAATCATGTGGCACTAATGTTACCTGTATATTAGGTCATAAGTAAATAGGTAGAATTAGTTTCACTACTATGAAGTAGTGAAACTATTTGTACTCATAAACCAATTAAGGCCTAAAGCTATAAAATCATTATTACCATTCCCTAATAAAACAATTATCGTGTAACTGCGAATATACCAAGTATTGTACCCACTTGATTAAATACAAAAAATAAAGAAAAAAAATCGGGGACCAAAATTAAATACGAATAGCTTCTTAGAGGCGACACGGAGTCTATTAAAATCACTTTAGCGCCTTCTTCAATGGATGATTGAATGCTTCTAAACAATTCATTCTTTCTTCTGTCTCAATGGCATGGCCCACATTCCTTGTGTAATCTTTTTAAAGGACAATAGACGTGACAATGGCGAGCCCTTCACTATTGAAGTACGTGTAAAATACTGACGCTCCGTTCTATATTAAGGTAACCTTTTTCAGTTATTCAGTGAAGGCAATGCCGCCCAGTGTGCAGGCTCTTAACTCTCAAAGCTTTGAGAGCTAACGAAAAAGTATCATTATCAAATTAAAATCCTCTGTCTAGAACCATAAGATATGTTTTACCATGTCGTAGCAGTTTGAGTTTTGTTGTAGGTATTCTATTGGCTACGGTCTCATTGTTGTTGTTCTAAATACAATTCAGCTCGTTTCTTCAATTTTATTTTAACTGACCGTAATAAATTTTGAATTTTGTATTGTAGACTGCATGGTTTCCACTTGTGCCCTTAACATGAATTTAATGAAAGTTATATTGTTTACGTAACATTGAGAACAGCTGATCCACAGGCGCCATGGAGCTTTGTAAGCCTTTGTGGCACTTTGCTGTACTTAAAATTTCTCCTCGTCAATTTTTTAATTACTTGTAACATTGTTGGCTTGCATGTAATAATATTAGATGACATAATGAAAATAGGTAGATAACTCCTATTAAATTAATTTTATGAGCACTTACAGCTACACACTAAATGCATCAGTCGTTTATTAGCCATAATATAGATTACTTTATATTCCTTTTAGATCACATTTTTGTTGCAGAAATTACGCCAGGCTGTTACTTAGATTCTATCTTGTAAAAATAATTATTTCGTCTATAAAAGGAGAGTCATTAAAATATAATTGATGTTTAAATTGTTTTGTAACTTGATCACATCTTACTTAATTGTAAGTGGAATAATTACTTAAAATAATTAATTAATAGTTCAGATTGTTACAAGATGATAAACTTGAGATGTAAAATAAAAACTATTTTGTCATTTTAATTTTAATATAAAAGCGAATAAAAACGATAAACATCTACCCCGGTCACCATATTTAAATTCAATGGCACGTGTACAGGTCCACTATGCAGTACATCTTTCAAAGAATATTCCAGGTACAAACCCAAAAAAATGATTTGATGCAGGGGAGTGAGGGGTCCCGTCCATTTTTTTGGGCAAGGTGGGCCCCATATAACGCGGTGCGGCAGTCCGTTGCGCTCATTCACTAGATCGTTGTCGATACCATCGAAGCTCCCAAACTTCTCTACAATATTACCTGCATCGTGCGCAACTATCGTCGTCGTTGCATTCATCCTTCAAAATGCTTCAAGGAATTCAATACAAACCATCTGACTATCATGTCGCTTATGCTAAAAGTGACGCTCCAAGAATGGTGGCAATTGCACCAGCTCCTGAAACAAAATATTTGACTTTGGACATGCAAACTGATAAGAAGAAGTATAATTACAAGAACACCGCGTACACCGGTCCTCAAGCTGTCTCTATCGCGAGAAGGAACGCCCGCGAAAGGAATCGTGTGAAACAAGTGAACGATGGATTCAATGCTCTGAGGAAGCGACTGCCCGCTACTGTTATTGCAGCGCTCTCTGGAGGTGCGCGTCGTGGATCCGGGAAGAAACTCAGCAAAGTGGATACACTCCGAATGGTCGTGGAATACATCAGGTATTTGCAAAACTTAATTGAAGAAAGTGACTCTGCCCACGGGATCACAAGAACATCGCAAGTTGAAACTAAAGCCTCGTACGAAGTGGATGAAGGCGTTTTTGATGGAAACTCTCCTTACTCAGACCCAGTGCCCTCACCAGCTGGCTCGGAGTGTTCATCTGGTGTGTCGTCAGCGTATTCAGGCGGTTATGTGCCAAATAACTACCAACCTTACCAAGAGCAAGTGAATCCCATGGACGAGGATGACTTGTTTGATGCTATCTCATGGTGGCAACAGAAGTAAACCAGTATCTAAGTGTAGTATAATTGAAAAATCTAGTCCTTAGAGTAATGAACTTTACGTAATTTATTATTTGTATAATAATTTAGAAAAATTGTAATGAAATACGTAACTAGGTAAATCAATTTATTGTATTGTTATGGCTGTGACTGTAAATATTGTTTAATGCAATAACTTAATGTAAAATAAGTATAATATAATATTATTAATATAAATAAATGACAATATAAAATTCAATACAAATATATGATGTGGTTTTAATCAAATACGCGGTACCTTTATTTAATGTTTCTGGAAAGATAAATATAATTTTTCAAGTCTTGATCATTTTGATTGGAATGTTTAAATACCAATCCGAATTGGTATTAAATCAAGAATAATAGATTCTGAATAGTAAGATAACCAAAGAATATGATGAAGAATTATATGTTTAATATGTATTACACAAATAATTGCTTCATATCATATTATAATTTACATTTTGGGGTGAACTAAAGTCATAAGTTTTTAATTCAAATTGCCAATACTAAATTGATTTCAGATTTAGTTTAATTTCATTTTTCTTTAGTAGTTTTTATTCGACTAAAGGAAGGGTATTGCTTTTACATGTTCATTTCTGTTAGGGAAAAGAGATGTAATAATTTAAACCATGTCTAGGCATAGCATGCAAGAATCTTGCATATGACAATAAGGATCTGCTATAATGAGAATATGTACATGTGGCTAATAATGAAACCAGAAAAAAGATGAGTGGCTAAAAAATATACTTACGTAAGGTATTGAATAAAAATAGACGTGATGTTGATGCATAATTTCATTTACCTGCTAATATTTCAATTCGATGGGAACGTGAACAATCTTCTGTGTATCATTACTTACTAAATTAAAACAAATAAAAAAAAACATCGAAACGCATTTCGATAAAAGTGTGAAAATAAATAAATAACTTTTAAATTAATTATCAAAAGAAACGGTAAACGAGATACGAGACCTCGTAGAGATAGCCGTGCAGAATTATTTTATCTTCGTAGATTTAAAAAAGTTGTGATACGGCCAGCGAGCTTGATTAAGCCATCGATGCGCAAACGCAGCTCCGGTACATTGTTATACAAGATTAATGGTGTTCACCGAGATAAGGAGGTGGGAGCTAAATGCATTTACATGTGCGAATAAAAAGACACTGATAAAGGGACAAAGAAGCTCGCGACGAATAAAAATGTTACCATTTATTGTGACGCACACAGTTATGAAGTGCATACAGCATTCCATCCCACTACCAGTTAATTGCTTTGCAAACTTATCAAGTTGATAACATTTAGTAATAACGAGGTTATATATCCATATATTAAAATACAAGACTATATACTCGCAAACGTTATTCTCAAATTCCTATCGATGAAGTAAGACGTAAAACTTCTAAGACACGCAATAGTTTAACTATAGTGACCGTCCTGCCACGTAAGGTCTAGCACGATATCTCATGCTGTCCTTTAACATAAATTAAGATTAGGTTTAATAAAACTTTTAATAGCTCGCGTGTCGTAGCGTCCGTGTGTAAAACAAACAGATTTATATGCAATCGCAGATTGTAGTTTACGATTATGGAAAATGCTGATAGAAGAGGAAGCTAACGAGTAATTAAACCTAATGCGAGTCACCGCCGACATTAACTCACGTAATTGCGATTAATATTTTTACGATCGGCAGCACTGGCAGGCACGTGGGAAAGTGTTCAGACCGCTACAATGAAGCCTCCGTGTCCCGTCTTTCAGTACAAAAGATTAGTGCTTTAAAAACTTGAGGTTTACATTTCGTTGCTTTTATTTGCTTCCGTTTTTTATAAAAAGTTTCAACAATAGAATCGAATGATTTTTGCAAATTCCGGAAACTATTAATTCTATCGATGCTTTGCTTTGTATCGATAATCTTATTATTTGGGGCACGTGAGCTTTGTTGTGTTCGTGATATTTGCGAATGTGCGACGATAAGGCACTTTTTGAATACTTTTGTGTGTTTTGGTTGCTAATAGTAGGTATTTATATTTATATCTTTTGGTTTTGCATAAAGACAAATATCAGAAGTAGTGTCAGAATTTTTATATCTCAACAATAACAACTCTTCTGAAATATTCACTTTCAAAATATGATCTTTTTTTTTTGTAATGCGATCAGACTCTGTTTATCCTATTTATTTTTGTCCCAGAACCCTTTCTTCCAAAACTATTTCGATACTTGAACTCGCTTTGAAATTTCAGAAATAAAAACATTTGTTTGTCGACTCAGTTGATGCTTTATCTCGTTAAATCAGTAAACCAGTGTTTGGTGTAGATAATATCTCTTTGTAGCATCATTGTGTTCGAGACTGTAACCACTATTGTTCGTAATTCGCTCAACTACTCCTACAAACTGGTACTAAACGACTGTTGTTGTTAATTTTCTATAATCTCTCTCGTACAATAGAAGCGTTCATTTGTTATATTTTAATTAATCTCTCACTTTCACTGTTATTGTGTTCATAATTAATTGTGTCTGTATATTGTCGGAAATTAATCGGTGAAATTAATAGAACCGTGTACTTTTCCTAAGATATATGGCCGACTGTTATTCCAATGTTCGTGTCTGAATCGCTCAAGGAAGTTTTTAATAATAATTGGTTTTACATAATTTCGTAATTTTAATGTTCTAAAAACAGTTTTCTTCGGCGTTACGGTAGGTAAAGACATAATTGGTACAGTGATATGGGACAAGGGACCATCACTTATGCAAATGGTTTATAGCCCGTCTCAGTTCCGACGCGGGCCGCCGCATGATTTATTACAAATCGCTACATTATATACTCGAATACATTTACCATACACATGTTACTTTGATCTTAAACACCGAACTTAAGACTTTATTTATCGTTTTATGATTGATAATTATCATTATTAGATTATTTATATACTGGATTATAGAGATTAACGGAAACTATTAAGAGTAATTTGTACTATATTGCTATCAATAAGAGTAGTATTTATGACAGCAAAGACATAACTTGATAGGTAACACTTGATGAAAAGTGGACGAAGCTAAATGAAGGAAACTGCATTCCTAAATGACCAATTATGGCTATGTAATTATTAGTTTAATTTGACTAATTTTGATTAATTTCATTAAGTGATCTGTGATTCTCACAACAGTAAAAGTTACGTAAGTTTGAGAGACGGAGAGAAGAAATAAGGCTAGCGGCAGACAGGTCCTTGTACATAAATAAATAATCGTCGGATATCGGCTTCCTTCGTCGAGGCTGCGCGGGCGCTGGGAACCCGCGATGTGATCGACGCGGCCCGGGTCACGCGCATATCATTGTTATACCATCGTATGTTGTACAGAGAGCAGTAAAATTTCATTAATTATACTTAATTTATTTTGTTTAAAATCTTTGGGATATATGTTCAGACTATGACATCTATTGAGTGATACGGTGGTGAAGTTTTTTTACACGTTTACCTACTTATGTTTTAATAAAACTTTGTTAACTAGAAAGTGATGTGTAATGGTTGAATTCAACGAAGCCAAGATGGATGTATCCTTAATATTCATATTTTCGTCAGTTATATTTATTTTATTCAGCAAATTAAACGGAATAGTAACCAAAGATTATTTACAAAAATAAAAATGAGTATCAAAAAGGTATATTGCATACAGATTGTTACCAGACATAAAATATTAAACGAAATAATTAAAATAAAACATCTGTCGACCAGTAGCAGATTCTAAAGAGATTATTTCAAGTTATAATTAGTTGTGCCCATTGCGTTGAAAGCGTGCCCACTTGACCACGAAACAAAAAGTATCAGCTTACAAGAAAATATGAATCGCGATATATGATAGTGCTAATTCCGAAATCCAGGGGCAGATATTTCAAAACTTTTGAATGAAATTATAATTATTACTTGTTTCTCACTATGCTACACTTTTATGTGAAAAAATGGTAAAAAGACCTTTTGAATTTGCTGCAACTCGCAATCGGAAGATACACTTTTGTGATGTGCAATTTGAGAATGATTTCCGCATGATATACGTCAAATAACCAAATCTCATTTTGCTGTTTTTTCTACATTTCCTCCGTCTTTTTGAACACTCCACTGCGGTTCGATTTGTATGAAATTGTCCGGGTTCTCTAAGGGCACATTGTATCAACAATTTTTTCTTGTAATTTCGTACTTCAAATTACGCAACATCGTTTACCACGTACTTTAGTGGCTACAATATATTACAACGTATAAAAAATACCTTTCAAAGATACCGGCGCATTTTATTTCATTTTAATGGCACTTAAGTTGGAAACGTAGGAACCTAAAATTTTATTAGTAGATTTTGAAGTTAGGAATGTGTGAGTATCGGCTACCGGGGTGTCTAATAAATATCAGTAGATTCATATATCGTATTTTATAAACTAACGTATTTACAGACAGTTACACAGGTAACATTCGTAAATATGTCGTTGTGCATGTGTTTATGTGCATATAAGATAGTGATGGGACGCCATAACATCGATACAATCACTCGACTCGATATAAAGTTAAAACAGAAGCCAATTGACTGTATAAAAGCTTTCAATGAGACAGGTGTTGAATATTATAGTGCCAATTGGCATGAATTGACCGAACTGTATCGATTTAAAAGTAATATCATTGCATTGCTACTGACTACTATTACGTGTAATAACATGTACCATGTGTAAGTTATATGTGCTTGATAAATAAGAAGTCAAAAAATTAAAAGAATAATCTACTTGACACTTTAAGTTGAGAATCGAGTTTATTTTCGCAACAGAACATCGAGTCGAGAAGAAAGTAGTGTTGATCGCATCATTAACATAGACACGGGATGGAGATGTTAGTTTAGTGGACAGGACAGTGGCAATGCAGTGATTTAGATAGAACACCGCTGTGCCCAGCGTGACCTTACTGTAATAACTTACAATAGAAATTATTGATTTTATTGTACATTCTACATTCA